GGTGGTCCGGCGAAGCTCAGAGCCTCATGTGGTGGTCCGGTGGAGGAGCTTCTTCTTTCTCTTCTTACTTCTCTTATCTTCTTCTCTTCTTTCTTGGAGTCCCCCTTTTCAAGAGAAATGAGTATTTATAGATTTCTGGAGTGGCATGACCCATAAATAGGTGAGAGATCAAGGGTAAATGGGGAGTAGTTAGATGGACGGTCGATATTGAATCCCTTGATCCTGGATTGTTCGTTAGATATTTAAAGGTCGTAATGATGTTTGAATTCAGTGATCTTGGGCTCGTTGGATTTGTCTCATCGAGGCACTCGATTCGATTTAAGCATGTAATGTTTGGAAAACGTTTGGTAATCCAAATTGTTGTTCGAACATTCCAACAGCACTTGGGGTCCTTGATTTGGACTCATTTTGGCTCGGATTGAGTTGAATTTGGTGTTGTTGGGTTCGTATTTTTTAGATGTTTAGTTCAACTGTAAGTTTGCTGAAATCGGAGTTCAAATGGCCTCCAATTTAATTTTTGAAGTTTCCAACATGATTTTTGTCTCGAGATTCTTGGCCAATCAAGATAATTTTTTATGATATATCAAGTTAGAATCAACTGTAACATGCAATCTGTAAGTATTTGTTGTTTAGAGTTTAGGATTTAGGGTTTATGATTATTGACTGTAGGTCGGCTGTGGGTCTCCTCAGCACGAACTTGGTTGGACCTCAAAAGGCCTATTCTTTACTTCAAATTTTGGTAATATTGATTATTAAAAACTCGTGGGCTGATTGGGTCCAATGTAACAACAAAGATTTTGATCTACATTGCATAGGCACTAGATCACTAGCTATGTTGCATATGTCTGGTTCAAGCTTGGGTCGATCGAACTGACCTGGCCCCCAAAATTGTAGATCCGATTTGAAAACTTATCTTAGTGTGAGAAACCAATTGTGTGGGCCTCTACAATGAAACATAAGCAAGCCTAAACATTGAACCATATTTTAGTTGTTAGGTTAGTTAATCATTTTTGTAGTTAAACATAAGCAAGCCTAAAAATTATTTACTAAAATGTACTTCAGAAAGAAGTAAAAAAATATGTCCTAAATTATTGATTCTTTTGGGATAAATTTTTTATTACTTTCTAAAAAAATTTAGAGCAAAAAACTCTTACATTATAAAATTTTATAGTAAAAAATTATTTAAAAAAAACAATAAAAAAGTTGTTCTTGAGAGAATCTTTTGGAACAATTTTCGTGCTGCATTAAAGCAGTTTTTTAGTAAAAAAATTATTTTAAAAAATTGTGTAAGCCGATAATATTGTTATTAACCGTTTCCCATCATTTCCTTTCAGATAAAAATTGCACCAAAAATCTCGTAAATACTAATATTTTAATTATATAATTCATATTTTTAACTAACAGTTTAAAATTCATAAAAATATCTAATAGTTAAAATAAGCTAATATGATTATTTTTTATTATTAATTAATGAGCAAATATTTATTATTTTCAAATTCAACTACTTCAAAGTCCGAAATAAATCACACTGACTCATCTTGATATGTTGATTAGAAGCTTTGGTTAACCTGAGTCTCACTATCTAATTTGTGATAGCTTTTTTACTGTTTTATTTTTATAACAATCTTAATTAATTAGAGTAATATTTAACTCATAATTATCATTAATTTTACAATACAACTCATCCTTATCTAAATCATGCTATTAAATTATAAAAATATTAATTTTATAATGTCATATTTTATACATTAAAATAAATGCTAAGGTAAAATAATATTAAAAGTTTAAAATACTCATATGTTTAAATTTTAACATTATATTGAAAAAAATTATTAGAAAAAATATTAATTTCAACACAAATTGAATATACAGCCACTATTATTTTTGCTCAAATTTAAACTAAAATGATGAAATATCTCTATCAAACTAAAAATTAGTAGAATGAAACAGATCAACACTAATAAAACTAATCAAATAACAGTACCTGCATTAAACAGATCAAGCCATGGCATGATACTCATTAATCTAAATTCAAAAACTAATTTTTAGGATTAGAGCTCTTAGAGCAGCACAAGGTCACTACAGCAGCAACAACACAGAATGAAGCCGTAGCAACAGCAGCAGAACAGATCCATTTCTTCCATTTTCTTGCACCATGGCGCTCGGCATCTTCAATCTTCCTCGACTGCTCCAAACACGAGATAGTGCGTACTCATGATCTTCTGATCTATTTTAAATTAAACAAATGTTTAAATATAAGCTTTTAAACTTTCAAAAAAAAAAAACAGAGAGTTCGAGCATAATGGGGGTTTTCAGATAAGGAGATGAGAAGTTGGGCGAGAATGTTTTGGGAAGAAATATGGAGGGAGATATAACTTATGAGGAGGTGAAGGAGGTAGATCATCGCCATTAATGGGAGGATGTTGTGATGGGAGGCTAATGCAGATAGCTGAAACTGGAGTTGTTCAATTTGTTTGAGGCACTCTGCCACTTCCTTCACGAGTTGGTCATTGAGGTTTTTTAGATTATCAATAGCTTCAGTTTCAGAACTTTCAGCAGCTGCTGGGGAAGAGTGGTTATTCTTCTTTCCCATGAGATGAGGAATGGAAGAGGATTTGAAAGGCTTTAATTTGCTTCGACTACAGTGAATAGAACAGTTGGGTTAGTGAATTGGACTGGTAAGGATGCCGATTATTTATAGATCTTCAGGGAGTGCTCGAGAAGAAACGGACGGCTCTCAGGCAGATTATTCAGGGACGGTTCAGACTCCTTTTGAAATTTGAAAATTTGAAAATTTTTCCCTCTTCTAGAACGGCCTCCCTCTTCCTCTCCGCCATTTTCGACTTACCCAAGCTTTTCGGCCGCCTCAACAGATCGAGATATAAGAAAGTAGGCCTCCCGCCTTGATTATGTCAGCCCAAACAGATCGAGATATAATGTCATATTTTATTTCTATGTTCTGTTATGATTTTAGTGTATAACTTTGCTGCATCACATAATTAAAGTTTTTTTTTTTAAATATGTTTGAAGAACTCGGAGATGTTATTATGCATTTATATTATTATTTAAAATCGAAAATTTAAAAACTTTTCTCTCTTCTACAACGGCCTCCCTCTTCCTCTCCGCCATTTTCGACTTACCCAAGCTTTTCGGCAGCCTCAATAGATCGAGATAAGAACTCAGAAATGTCATTATGCATTTATATTATTATTTAATGCTTTATATTATGCTAATGACTAATGAAGAAGTCTATCACTTTCTATATTTAGGCAATTCTAAGTATGTTTAAAATTTAATATAAGAAAATGACCTTATTTTAAAACATTTTTAATAACTTTGTATTCAAAATATTATTTTCTAATATATTTTAAATGTATTTCATTTTAATATTTTATAAACTTTTTTTTATAACAAGTTGGCTGGTGGGCTAATGAGTGGAGTTAAAGCTGACTTAAATTTAGATCATTAGCACATCAAATTTGGCTCACAAATCATTTATAAAGTCAAACTCAAATTGACACACGAGTCAGCTTGATTCATTTATAATGTATATGTATATCTAGTTGATTCTAATTTTAGATCCATCTAATCATTTTTTTTAGTTATTAATTTAGCTTATTAACAAAAAATAGGATAATTAAGGTTCTAAAATCGATTTCATAAATACCCATACTCAAGAGAGAAAACGATGTGGCATTCAGATGCAGAGAACCTCGCTTAATTTGTATTTCCTCCCAAATTGTTGTCTCCTTCTCCTTCCCTCTCTCTCTCAAGAACATCTTCCAAGATCCTAACATCATCAAAATTAATTTTACAATGTTGCTAGTCCTTTCTCTCGAGGTTTGAGCTAAATGATTGCTGAGAGAACTATCATGTAGGCTTATTTGAAAGGAGTAGGGGTGTCAATTTTTTACACGACCCAAAACACGACTTGAACCCGACCCGAAAAAATCAGGGTTCGGGTCAAACCGGACCCGAAACGGGTCGTGTTAGGGTTCAACAAATCAACCCGTTTTAAAAATCGGGTTGAGTTCGGGTTCAATAAATCAACCTGTTTTAAATCGGGTCGGGTTCGAGTTGACCTAGCAACCCGAAATTGACACGAAAACTCATATTTGACCCGAAAAATCGAGAATGACCCTTTTTTTACCTATTTTTTACCTGAAAATCGAAGATTGGCCATATTTTTTACCCAAAAACTAACAATTTTTGGTCAACCTCGGGTCATTCGTGTCGATCGAGTTGACCCGGACAAGAATCGGGTCGGGTTCGGGTCCGAAAACCTGACCCGTTTTTAAAAATGGGTCGGGTTCGAGTTGACCCGAATAGTGTCGGGTCAGTTCCGGGTTCAACCCAAATCCGACCCGTTGACCCGAATTGACACCCGGCCCCTAGAAAGGAGAGACCGTAAGGCAATTCCCTCAACCCTCATCTTGATGGTTCTCATTCTATACACCATCCTCCTCCATGTTGCACATGATTAGGCTTCGTTAAGAACAATTTTTTTACTACTCTTTAAAGCAACTATTTAGTACAATAATTTTAATTTTGTATTAAAAAATTACTTTAAAAAGTCATAAAAAAGCCATCCCAATCGAAGCCTCAGTCCCATCCACGATAATATTAGCTAGCCAATAGACCACCTCGTATACTCCATCACTATCACTACTATATAATTTGTCAAATCATCTTGGTGATATTATCCCAATCACATTGTCATTATTATACTATTACTTGCTAAATGTTGCTCGTAAACAATCATTATATTAATCAATTATTCTATTACAATTAACCACAAAGACCAAATGATGTTCATCTACAATCAATGTGTGAGAGAGCCAACATACAATAGCAAGTATATATGAACTAATTCTCTGAAAGCTTGGGGATAATTTCGAAAATAAAATTATTTTAAACAAGCGATTAAATAATTAATAATTAAGATTTTATTTGAAACAAATTTTTAAATATTTTTAAATAACTTTCTAAAAATATTAAATTTTTATAATTAAGCATGGCGCAATTATAAAAACAAACTCTCACGGCGGTTCGTGCAAATTAATTGAGCACGGTGCAATCCCGACGAATATTGCCTTCCGATGGGTTGGTCTTTACACCGACACGGCCCAGATTGGTTATGGCGGCCACAAAGGCCTGATTGAAGGCAACCGAGTTTGCAGCCCAATTATTAATTGTAGGCCTGCTGCGGGTGTCCTCGGCAAGAACTTGGTCGGAGCTCAAAAGGCCCATTCTTTGCTGCAAATTTAGATAATATTGGTTATCAAAGACCCGTGGGCTGACTGGGTCCAACGGAACAGCAATGGTTGGATCTACATTGCGTGGGCACTGGATCTGCAGCTGTGTTGCATATGTTCGGTTCAAGCTTGGGTCGATCGAACCGGCCTTGCCCCCGAAATCGTAGATCCGATTTGAAAACTTATCGCAGTGTGAGAAACCAACTGTGTGGGCCGCTGTAATGAAACATAGACCATATTAAACTGTGAGCTAGAATTTAGTTGTTTGGTTAGTTAATCATTTTTGTAATTATTATGATTAAGGCTTCATTTATGACAGCCTTCTTAATGCTTTCTTTAGAAAATTATTTAGAAATTAACAAATAAGATGTCCCAAACAAAGCTTGGAACAACTTTTGGTCATCATTTTTTTATGTTTTTAAAAAAATTATGTAGTAGAAAAGTATTTTAGAAAATAATAAAAAATCATATCCTAAATTATTGCTTTCTAAAGAAGTTTAGAGCAAAAAGCTCTTAGGCAATAAAGTTTTATAGTAAAAAATTGTTAGAAGACAATAAGAAATTAGTTCCAAAGAGAATAGTTTGGAACAACTTTCGTACTGCTTTTTAAAGCATATTTTTAGTAAAAATTTATTTCGTCCCAAAAAAAAATTGTAAGCCTATAATATTGGTATTGACCGTTTCCCCTCGTCTCCTTTCAGATAAAAATTGCACCAAAAATCTTCTAAATAGTAAATACTGATATTTTAATTATATAATCCATATTTTAAATAACAGTAAAATTCACAAAAAAGTTAGTGATTTGGTTCTAGAAATGCTTAAGGGCTGCACGTATTTTTCGATATGCATGTATTTTTCGATGAAAAATTAATACAAATTAAATAAAAATACAATGTGAAAAATTTCAATATATTTAAAATATTTCAATTATTTGGATGAGTATAAAATAAATACAGGCAATTATTTTTTTTTTATTTATTTTTTAAGTTAAAGTAAAATGAATGCACCATAAAGGTCAACGTTGGTCGTGGCCTTAGAGTGGCCCGTAGTGGCCATGGCTTATGATGATAATGACAGAAAATTTATAATGTAATAAAAAATATATAAAATCTAAGTATCTAACAATTTTTTATTACAACAAAATTGATCTAAAATATGAATTATAAATAGTTTTAAATGTTATTCTATATTTCATTTATTTCAGATCAAATATTAATATTTTCAAAAATTCCTATATTTAAAATGCTTATGCCACTTTACTTCAAATCAAACAGCCCTTCTCTCTTTGATAAAAAGATTAAAAAAAAAATAGGGGCATAAAAAATCTAAAGCTCACGTCAGAAATTTTTTTAATTTTTTACTTAAATAATATGTATTAATTCATTTCAATTTAATTAATTAATTTGATTAATTCGAACATTTTTTATTGACAATGAATGACAGCATGCAACCGACCAAAAAAGATCTGATTCTAAAATTAGAGAGTTAATGTTACTTCATTAGATATATAAATTTAAATATTATCCCATATGAAAATTAAATAAATAAAAAATAAGTGACCAACAAAAATTTAATTTTAATGTAACGTTAGATGGAACTTATGTTGTCTATAATAAGAAAAAAAAAATTGTCAAAGTTGAATAAAAAATTAACATTTAGGATTTCTTTGAGACTGCTATAACTAACTATATTTTTAAAATAATTTTTTTGGAAGTTGTTATTACTTTTATAAATATGTTAATATATGAAGAGTTGCTTCGTTTGGGACAGCTTTGTTATTGTTTTTTTAATTTATTTTTTAGTATAAAAATTTTTTAAATTAAAAATTCTTGTACAAAAAAATTACTTCAAAAAGCATTAAGACATATGCGCCAAACGAAGCCTTAATCTAGTTATAAAAGTAACATCTTGCTAACATAATTTCTAAAATGAAGGGAAAAGCAATAAGCAAAAAAGAAATGTATTAGAGATTTGAAAAAGCAAATTAGTTAGGAAGGTACCTAACACTAAAAATTATTCTATGTGATCATCGTACAAAGTCTAAAGACGAATAAGAACGTGTCACGTACATCATTTTTTTTATGTGAATCGCTGTTGTGTACCACTCAGTACTGGATGACGTGCCACGTTCTAAGTTGCCTTTGGACTGTTCAGTGATATCACAGAATCATTTCTTCCCTAACACGCCCTCAGCTCGAAGTTAGTTGATAAGTAATTATTATGACTTTAAGGATCAGCTTGTGATGGCTGTAAGTTTTTGCAAATGTAATTGAAGTTTAAAGCAAAGCAATGCAAAGTAGAAGAAAAAAAAAACTTCTTAGTAGCAACAAGAAAGTAATAATAAAAAAAAAAATTATAGCCATGATCTTAAAAGCAAAGCATGAAAAAAATTGCCCCAAATTGCCCTTAAATTATTTTTTCCAATTTAAGTACACAAGGCAATAATTTCTAAGAAGTTTATAAGAATAAAGCAAAAAAATTTAGTCATAATTAGTTTTAAATAATTTTCAAATACTTAAAATAAATGTAATTTAAAAGAGTATTAATTATTTATATATTAAATCTTAAAATAAATCTGAATTCTTAAATTTCTTTTTTTACTCTATTTTTCTTCATTTTACATGTCATATGACCTTCAAATTAAAATGCATAAACTCGCAAAAAAGACTAGGTAGATCCAGCGGTGTATGACTGTTTAAAAAAGCTAATAACTAAGGCTTCGTTTGGGACGGCTTTCTTTCTATTCTTAAAGTGGCTTTTTAGTACAAGAATTAAAATTTTTGTAATAAGAAGCCGCTTTAAGAAGTGGAAAGAAAACCGTCCGAAACGAAGCCTATAAGAAGCCGCTTTAAGAAGTTGAAAGAAAGCCGTCCCAAACGAAGCCTAAGAGTATTTTTTATTCGGCTGCAACTTTTTATAAAGGTTATTATTAATTTTTTACTAATTTTTTTAAAAAAATTGCTATAAAAATAACTTATTAACACATAAAACTTTTAAAAGTAATGTAAAATAGCAGTCATACAAAAATTTTTAATTTAGTTTGGGATAACTTTCTTACTGCTTCTTAAAGTAATTTTTTGTATAATTTTTTTTATATATTTTTTACTAAAAATTTATTTTAAGAAGTAATAATAAAGCGATCTCAATCAAAGTGGAAGTCTAAAAATCAAAGCAATAATAATAAAGTTATTCCCAATATAATCTAAATGATAAATTATAAAAAATTATTTATTTTTATTGTTTTAAATTAAATTTCATGACGAAGCGACGAACGATACGTCAATATTCAGCCGCGGGAACCCCAACCCGGTCCTAAGTCCTAACTGACATAGTCCGCTTGGTGAAGCAAATTATGGCGGTACGCTGCATTCCAAGAACATCCTAAAAATCTTAAAGTGGTTCGTCATCTACCTGATAACGCGATCATGTCCGTTTGAGATATCCCATTCGCCGCAAAGATGGCTGTGAGCTGGTTAAGGTTGAATGTCGGCAGAGGCAGCTTACCGTCCACGCTCGCCGACGTTGAGCTAAGCCCGTCCAGCCTTCCCAGCTCCACCGCATACGATGGTCCGCCGGACTGTGTTAGTTAAATAACGCAAATTATTATAAGTAGAAGAGAAATTAAAGAGATTAAAAGAGAGGCGATCGATAAAACCAGGGAGATGACGTCGCGGGCAGCCATGGCGAGGATATCAGCACAGGAGACCTTGTTGCGGCACTGCTCGACGGCATCCACAGCAGCCTTCGCCTTTATCACGGTGTCGAAGCCGTCGCCGGCGAGGGAGAGGTTGATGGAGTTGTCCTTCTCCGCCGTGTTGCTCGCCGTCGACGCCACAATCACCGACGCGTCGCAACCCTGCAACGCAAAAAGAGATCGAATTTAGTACCACGTCGAACAAAATGCAAACAAAGCAGTATAAGTTGATCGATTACGTTGACAAAGCAGTCATGGAAGAAGAGGCGAAGGGTGCCGGGGACGGTGACGGTGGTCTGCTGGAGCTTTGCTGTGACGGCGTTTCGGACAATGCTTTCCACGTTAGGGCAGATGTTGGCGTAGTAGTTTTGACGGAGTTGGGCTGAGCTCGGCTGAACTAAAAGGCCGAGCAAATTTATCGTGAAGACAAGAAGAGCTCTGTTGATTATCAGAGACTTTGCCATATCGATCTCTCGCGTGCTTACATGTAACAGAATGTTGGAGGAGATGAGATTATTATAAAGGTAGCATTTTTGTCTTATATAGACAAATTTCTCAATGTCTGAGTTGGCTTCCAATTATTTTTTAATTACATTTCTATGTACTAATAAGAATGGTTTACAGCATGCTTGAAAGACTAAAGATAAATATTTGATTATTATCATAACTAATTCTATAGCTAAATTTTTAATTAAAATGATTAAAAAAATAATCAAATGCTTAAAGAAAATTGTACTAGTTGATATCAAATACTAGACCTGCCCCACCAAGCTTAGGCTTCGTTTGGGATAGCTTTCTTATTGCTTCTTAAAATAGATTTTTAGTACTAAAATGATTAATTTTTTACTAAAATGCTGATTTAAGAAGCAGTAAGAAAGTCATTCCAAACGAAGACTTAGTTGGGTTGTTGGGCAAGCGTGATTGGGAACCCCACAACCCATGTTCCATTTCTCTCTCAAGCACTGCGACTCTTTAAGTAGGAAGAAAATAAGTGCATGATCCAACACCTGCAGGGCGGGCAACCAAGAGATTAGCTATTATGTCAAGCGCCTTGTCTTCGGGGGTGGCAGCGCGTAGATACCCCGTTCAAAAAAAAAAAAATTAGACCTAACTTAAAATAAAATATATTGATTTTATCTTAATTTATTATTGTTAATTAAAAAAATATATAATTTTAGGATAATAGGGTAGAGATAGAGAGAGAAAAGAGAGGGGAGTAGTTAGCTAGTTACATCAAAATTTTAAATTAAATTCATTCATCTTATTATATTGCTTGATTTGCTGAATTCTTTGTTGTTCTGAGTCCGGTTGGACCTTTTTTGATCTTTTTGGTTTGTTTTGTGTATTGGAAATGGGTTATATGTATTACAGGTTTTGTTATTTTCTGTAATATTTACCAGTTAATAGAAGGGCAAAGCCCCAATTTCTCTCAAAAAAAAAAAAAAATATTTTATATCTTTGCTTTAACTAATACATTGCAGCTTCTATGATTGTTATATATTGATAATTCACAAAAAATGTTGATCTTGCATGAATCTCAAGCCATATTTAAGTTAGAAATTTTCAAAATTAATTTTGGGACCATCCGAATCCTGATTTCAGCAAACTTATAGGTAAACTAACTATCTAGAAGAGGTGAACCTAACAACGCCAAAATCGGTCCGATCCGAGCCCAAATGGGCCCTATTTGGGTGCCTGAACCGCATTTGGAAGGATCAATAAAGCCTAAATTGGATGACAAAATGATATTCACATATAACATGCTTAGATTCAAATCAAACGATTTGACAAGATGAATCCAACGAGCCCAAGATCTTTTAATTCTAACATCATTAAGACACTTAAACAACTGAAAAATGCTCTATGATCGGGGGATCAATATGGATTGTCCGATGGAGCACTCTAAATCTGCGTTCGATCTTCTCCATATTTATGGGGTCTGTCACTCATTAAAATATATAAATAGATCATCATTCTCTACATGAAAGGTGGGTCTTTTACTACAGATTGGAGAGAGATCTGAAGCTTCAAGAGCTCCAACACCATCGCCGCGAACCTTCATTGACCATCTTCGCTGGACCACAGCCTGGCCACTGACCGCCGACTACTGTGTCTTTGACTTCCATTACCCGCCGACTACGGTCCCTCTAAACTTTGTCGCTCGCCAACTACAGTCCCTTTGATCTCTGCCGCTCACCGACAAAAAACATTAGGAGGATAATCATTTTAATTGGGCCAGATCCCATGGGTTTTTCCCTCTTTAAGATTTTCCACATAAAAATCTTGGGTGTCTCTTATATAGCTCTCGCACCCCTTCTCTTTATTTGATGGTGTGTTAAATCTTCATACAAAACTATGACGCTAAACTCCATATCTCTTTACCGCCGCGAATGTTCCAGTCCGCAACAATTATAATGTCTCTAGTTTATTGGTCGAAAATTCTTTGATCTCTCATTTCTTTGATTGGTCGTGTGGCATTTCGGTTAGTTTTGGATAAATTTTCTTATAAATGGAGGCTCTTTGTAATATATTTGTTATTGACTATCGTTATGTTTCTTGTTGTTAATTGTTAATTATTGAGTGTTAATGCATTTCTATCTTATGATTTTGGTACAATCTGTTTTGCTTTCACCTGCCATGGCTAATTATATTTCTGAGGCATTTCATGGGCGGATTGTTGAGAAATCATTTCTACGCATTTCTCTTTTGTTGAGACACCCGGCCTTTTTGCTTTAATTTGCTATTATTGATGAATAGCATATTCTACATTTTTTTAGCCATCTTGAATGGTAACTACACTTCAATAGTGGCGACTAGGGGTATCAATATTTGACACGACCCGAAAACCCGACTCGTCAGGTTCAACATTTCGACCCGTTTAAAAAATCGGGTAGGGTTCGGGATAACCCTTTAACCCGAAAATGACCCGTTTTTACCCGAAAATCCGATTTTGACCCGATAACTCGATTTTGACCCTTTTTACCCAAAAAAGAAGAGATAAACCCATTTTTGACCTGAAAACTAGCAATTTTTTGTTGGAAACGGGTCATGTCGGGTTGACCTAGACCTGAAGCGGGTCGGTTCAAAAACGAGTCCGGTTCGGGTTTGTTATGGAAGTGGCTAATGAAGAATCAGGAAAGCACGTGGTCGGTTACGCTGTGGCAAGACTGGCTACTTATTCTTTACACGTGCTCCGAATAGTGCCAGGTCAATTTCGGGTTCGACCCGAACCCGATCCGTGACCCGAAATTGACACCCCTAGTGGCGACTACTTTGAATTTTGGGTTATTATGAGCCTTTTTTAGGTAATTGATTTTTGCTCATTCTTTTTATAGAAATGTAATTTTATTTTTATGTGTTATATATACACATCTTCCTCATGATAGTTCTCTTACTATTGAAAACTATATCACTTATATATTCGGTGACTAGGTGGCTGTTTTTTATGTTATTGCCATTAGACATTTTTTTGGCTCAATTGGTTGATTTGGACAGGAAATACATTTCAAAAACTGATAGTTTCGTTTTTTATTTATTTTCATAGACTTGATGATTTTAACTAATTTAGATGCTGACATCCTCATAAAAAATTGATTGTAATAAATTTTAAAATATTTGAATTTATATTAACTAGTTAAATATTTAACTCAATGTTACCCTTACCTTAGTGCAGTTCAGATAAAAATAAAATAAAATATATTTATCTGAAGATAAAAACTAATAAAATGATAATAAAAGATTAAGCTTTTAAAATAAAAAATTATGACAATCATTGAGATAAAATAAAAAATAAAAAATATTAGCAAGATAATATTTTATGCATATTGTTGCGTCCTGGAGTATTCGCGGCGGTAGAGAAATATAGTTTAATGTCTTAGTATTGTATGAAGATCCAGCACACAATTAGATAAGTGAGAGTGTGTAGCATTCATAAGAGACACCAGAGTTTTTTACGTGGAAAACCCCTGAAAGGGGGAAAAACCACGGGGCCAGGCCCAGTTTGAATGAATCCACTAGTATTTGTAGTCGATTACAAATGAGGCCCTTCCTTGGGAGAAGGCCTTGGATTGATGTAGCAAATATACATCATATAGATTGCATTACATGGTAGGTGTGACATATACATGTTTGTTTGGTCGGAAGGACCGTAGTCGGCAGGAGACCGGGGTCAGAAAGACTGTTGTTTGTTAATGGAGGTCGGAATGACCATAGTAGGCGACGGAAGTCGGGAAGACCGTAGTCGGCAGGAGACTGGGGTCTGAAAGACCTTTGAATGTTGATGGAGGTCGAAAGGACCATTGTAGGCGACGGAGGTCGGGAAGACCGTAGTAGGCAGGAGACCGGGGTCTGAATGTCGGGCTTTAAGCAGGATGTCGAGTCTTCAGCAGGACGTAGGGACTGAACGTCGGGCCTTAAGCAGGACGTCGGGTCTTCAGCAGGACGTAGGGACTGAACGTCGCGCCTTAAGCAGGACGTCGGGTCTTCAGCAGGACGTAGGGATTGAATGTCGGGCCTTAAGCAGGACGTCGGGTCTTCAGCAGGACATAGGGACTGAACGTCGGGCCTTAAGCAGGACATCACTCCTACCATGTAATGCAATCTATATGATGTATATTTGCTACATCAATCCAAGACCTTCTCCCAAGGAAGGGCCTCATTTGTAATCGACTACAAATACTAGTGGATTCATTCAAACTGGGCCTGGCCCCGTGGTTTTTCCCCCTTTCAGGGGTTTTCCACGTAAAAAACTCGGGTGTCTCTTATGAATGCTACACCCTCTCACTTATCTAATTGTGTGCTGGATCTTCGTACAATACTAAGACATTAAACTATATTTCTCTACCGCCGCGAATACTCCAGGACGCAACACATATAATATTAAAATATTTTTTTAGATTTATAGTATTTTCTAAGAGAGACCAAGTCAATAGTAATTAAGGATCTTCAATTATTATTGAGGGAGACAAAATTTCAACAAATGCATCGCATCTAATCCCTTAGCTCCTAGTTCAAAATTGCCAATATGACAAAATGACTTACTCACATTTATTTATTTTAGATAATATGATTAAATATTATATTACTGATTATCCATTTTTTTTTTAAAAAAAAAGTTATACTCATATTTAATGAAAAATTGTTGCTAAAAACAGCAGTTTAAACTGCTAGAAAAGAGATTTATTTCATTTCCTCACGATCATTGTTCAACATTGCCCTAACTCACGCAAGTCAATTTCTCATTTCCTCATATAAATTAATAAAAATAAAATATCAAATATATTTTAATTTTATCTTGTGATAAATTATAAATATATTTTCAAAATCATTTATTAATTATTATAAGCATTCTATGGGGAATAATTGTCAATTATTAATGCAACTTTCATTTCATACCCATTTTTATATTCAACAAGCACATTAAAAATCAAAATTTGATGCGGTCAACAAAGTCTGCCATTTAAGTTTGTAGACATTTATAGAGTCCATTAGGTGGTCGAATTGGTTAGGCTAGTCTAGCAAAAGATTTAACAATCTATTTAGTTGAGATAATTTCAAATAAAATGAGCCAAGAGCTAGCTCATTGAACTATGAAGTTACCGGCGGCTTTTTAAAATCCGTCTGGTATCATAGTTTCCGGCGGCCAAACTGCCGGGTGGCCGCTGGAAACATGTAGCTCCTACAAAAAAAAAAATGAAAAAAATATCGGTAGTACCGGCGGTCCGGTAACCGTCGGTCACGACCTCCGGAAATCGGCTATTTTTCTGTAGTGAGCAAAGTCTAGTGGGTGAAGCGAGCGGGCCGAACACGAGTGCGAGAGCCGCTGGCGGAACCGAATGACATTAAGTGAGCTAGGAAATGTGTTCGAATGAGAAAAGAAGTGACTCGTTGTGTGTGATACCTTCGATTTGCTCACTCTAATTGAACCACACGATTAGAAGAGATTATTGAATTATGAATTTTAATTATTAAATTATTTATTTGAGATTATTGAATTATGAATTTTTAGATATTATTAAGGAAGTTTAATCTAAAATTTATATTTTGAATACAATTTAAAAAATATTAAAATTGAAAATTCTAATGGTTAATTGTAAGGTGTGTGTGTATATATATATATATATATTACGTGTATACATTTTAATTAAAAAGAATATAATCAAATGGTATATGAGAATATGAGATGCTTCAAGACTGAAAGTTCTGTTGAGTCTCAAGCTCACGATCTAAGCCTCAAAAAATCTATGCCCCATTGATGTGCGAATTGAGATTCTACTTAAAGATTTTTAGAGTGACATGCTCTATAAATATGAAGAAAATTCGGGACAAATTCAAAGTGCTCCATTGAATGGTCCAAATTGATTCCCTTAAACATAAAGTGTTTGTCAAACATTTAATTTTAATTCAACTATGTCTCGGGATTCATGCCCAATCAGGATAATTTTTTGTGATGTATCAATTATAATATTATATAAATCTTAAAAATCTTAACAAATATCAACTCTTATTTTTTTATTCACCGTAAAATTTTAATGATTTAATTAATAACATTCTCAAATACAAAATTTTATTACAGAATGTTATTAGGGGATGTTTAATAACATTCTCTTTCTATCTTTTGTCTTCTTCATGTGCAAATCTTGGTTCGGGTTGACCCGACAAAGAAACGGGTCGGGTTCGGGTCCTATTTTTGAAAATGTTTATTGTTCGGGGTCAGTTCGCGTTGTTGTCGCCGCTTGTAGCACACATCCAGCACTGCCACATTGCTGCCACTGAGTGCCGATGACGCCCCTTGACTCGACCTCAACGGCTACAACGACACTCGCGCTCGACAACTAGCTCAGACTGTCAGACGAGCCGGACAACACTCGCACTCTACTCGACCTTGATGGCTAGGGCTAGACGCACCCTGACGACCCCGCATTCGCCACTCACCGACTCGCACTGGACGCGACGGAACCTCAATCCCAACGGCTGGACCTGGACACAACCTAAACCCTATTCCGGTTTCACGAGTAGAGTTTAGTCAACCCGTAACCTGTGCGGGTCGGATCCAGATTAAAATTCTTGACCCATTTGTAAAACCGGATCGGACCAACTAAGATTGGACCCAAATTCGACCGTTTACCCGAATTGACAATCATTGGTGACACCAGGTGGAACACTTCGTACTCTTTCGATCCGCAAAGCAATTTTACTCTCTTTCGAGCCAAGGCCCACCTTCGGCAACCCGAAGTTCGCAGTGATGTCGGAGAATCCCTTCGAAGCCATACGCAAAGCCTGCGACTCCTTCGGCAAATGCTTCCAAACCCACCTATCTCGCATCTTACCCGCCCGTTGCGAAGACCATCTCGATAAACCCTCCTCCGTTGCCGGGAACTCTAAAACTTCGTCATTTTCCTTCTTCACTGCCTCAAATCCAAAAGTTGTTAATGACGCTGCTCTGCTTACTCCCGATGTGGTCGCCCACCTCCCCTACACCAATGTCGATCCTCATGGTTCAAGCATTTATTATTGTAGGAAAAGTTTTGATTTTTTTTTTCTTGTTTTGCAGATTGCTCTCGAAAAGAAGATTACTGCAGCTCCACTGACCAAAGAGGAACTTGGGAGGGCTACTTGGACGCTTCTGCACACGGTTGCAGCCCAGGTGTTTGATCTTTTGCCTCACCCATTGGACTTTTTTTTTTTTTTTTAATTTTGCTTGTTATTGTGGTCCTATTTATGATTTTAAGGGCTTGATATTTGAAATTTGGAATTCGAATTGAGGTTTGCATACTTTTAGTGTGTGATGCTTTGATAAAGAGGAATAATAGGCTGAAATTTTGTGCGCGACAGTTTTTGGTTACTTTCTGTGACAGGACTTCGACAAAAATAGTTTGTATGCTTGTGAAAGTTTGCTTCGGCCTTTTCGTTTCCCTAGTTTGAAATAGAGGAACATTGCCCCAAATTGAATTCCAAACCTTCAGAAATTATAGAGGATGGCTTATTAATGTATGTAAAATTAGATTTAGGCCCGTCCTAATCAAGGTTTCTTGTGTATCTTATATGGATGAAATTGAGCTTTTAATTTGGAAAAGCAAACTAATTCTTGCTGACCAAACATTTTGTTAGGAAACACATGAAGATAGAAAGTGAAACCTAACGATTTTGACAAAAACAACGAGAAACCTCCACAAATCCAACGGAAAATCAAAGAAAAATAGTAATTTTATTGTGATAATCAAACTAACGGAAGAAAAATAACAACATACAATTGATCCTCTATTTGAGAGGAGGACCTATCTCTCCCAAATCTCTAGACGCCTCTAGAGCCCAAAAACTTAAACCTAAGATATCTCAAATTTCAGCCAAATTCAAGATGCCCTAACCCTAGGAAAAGGAACTATTTAATGCATACAATCAAAAGGAAATCTTTAAACAGTCCCTACAGTCAAATTTCTCTCCTAACTCCTTAAAAAATCCTTCCTCAATAGCTCCCTTTGATTCGGCGGTTCGAGCGGCGTACAACAGAGGTGGAATTCTTCCGCCTCTGTTCTGCCTGAGCCATCTTCGTGTGGACCGGCTGAACCGGTCTAATACATTTATTCTATTTTCTTAAAGATGTTAACTTTTTGGTCAGGTCTAGGCTCTACTTCAGTTCTTTTTCTCGCCAAATTTGACGCTTATTGGCTTTCTTTACTTGTTTTACTTATTCTAAATTCTTTAGTTTGTACACATGATTTATCATAGCCCCTGCCCACAAGGAAAATATCGTGCACGTTACTGCTGATATTTTCTCTGTTTTTAATTTTTAATTTGCTTCACCTTTTAAGGATTAGTAAAACTTTGTGATAAATATTTTGGACTGAGTTTCAGATTGAGAAATGTGCTACCATCATGCACATACTATGCAGCATAGAAAACTCTCTTTCTAGCGTCAAATCGCTCAAAGAAGGATTTGAGTTTTAAGCACTTTTTATACCTCAAACCTGGCAGTTAATGTTTTATTTATTTATTGTCATAATAATGTACTCCTTTTATCTGTTTTCCTACCCTAACTCTTAAGCAATACTTGCAGTCTTTCATCAATGGCACCAGAAACATTTCATTATTTTTATTCAATGAATTTTTATCCAAGGTTACCTTGCATTACCCATGCACATAATGGCAAAGCATCAGCTTTTGGCATATCCTGAAACTTAGGATCCGTTTGGGGCTGCTTTCCTACTGCTTCATAATGCAGCTTTCTAGTACAAAAATTTTGGGACAGCTTTCTTTCTGCTTCAAAAAGAAGGAAAAAGTCATCCCAAACGAAGCCTTAGCTGGAATTTCTCATGACTCCAGCCACTATCCTGAAACTTTGTTGGAATGTCCCATGACTCCCAACCACTAGCGTACTAATTCTCGTATGTCTATTCATGAAAATTAGGCTCATAACCTGTATATTATCAGTACCAGGGGGTTTGCTGGATGCTTGATTTAAATAAATCAATTTAGGGTTCCTATATAACAATATTCTAAAATAAAATAAAATAAAATAAAAGGGGACAATCTCTCATTATTTCCTCTTAAGAAACGAATAAGATGGGAATAAAAAACATATAAGGGGAATTTATTGGCCTATAATGATCGTTTCTTTTTCTGATTTGCTTTTGTAATGCACTATTATCTTTAAGAAACCTAGAGCATGTTTTGAATTATCAGAAAACAGAGATTGCTAACTTCTCTATCCCAATCTGCACCTAATTAATAATTCTTCATTGAATTTCTCAGTTTCCTGACATTCCAACTAGACAACAAAAGCGGGATGTAAAAGAACTGGTATGGTTTATGTTCTTGCAGATTTATGCAGTTTTATCTGTGAGAAATGTGGAAAATGCTCCTACTATTTTTTAAGGCTTATTCATTTTATTCTTTGTTGTGTCCCGGATGCACTTACTCTGGCATCACTGGCTTTCAACCTTGTCATTGCTTATGATCTTCATTGATAATGGGCTTGCATATTGGAAGTAAACAAGCTGTTGATGCCTACTTTGTTTTTACTGTTACATGTAAATTACTGCATGCACTTTAAACATAAATTATTACGTCCTCCGACCGGACGGACGTAGAGGAACGTCAGGTCGGAGGCAATTTCCCGCCAAAAAGCGAGTTGTACTGAGCAAATACCGAGCAATACCAAACAATAACGAAGAATATCATCATTTGAAGACCCAATACCGAGTTATACCGGGCTTTACCGAGCAAATACCGAGTTATACAAAAGTTGTACCGAGTTTTTCCCAGAAAAACTCGGTACAACTCGGTATTTCTCGGTACAGCTCGGTATAACTCGGTATTGGTCTTCAGAGAACGGTATTCCTCATTATTATCAAATAATACCTAATTGTACCGAGCAAATATCTAATTTTTTGGCGAGAAACTGCCTCCGACCGGATGTTCCTCTACGTCCTTGCACCGGACGTAATAAAAGTTCGAGTATTTGACATGTTTTCAGCATAGGAGTTCAAAAATTTAGAAGAACATAGTGGCTATGGTTAAAACTTGAAATGTCTGGATTATTTACTAGAATATAATTTGTAAATGCAGTTGTTTAAGTTGCTGTGTGTCTTTAATTTATAGCAAAAAGTTAAATTTTTTTCTTAACAACAGGCTAAGTCCTTTAATAATTGTATTAAGAATAAAAAGTGAGGGATATAGGAATACCTTTTAATGTAGCAAATGTCCGCATGCCTGGTACAGAATGCGTGGATATCTGATAGGAAACACTTGAAGATCTCAAGAATTTCTTATTAATCTTTGGGAAACAACAAAAATTCTCCGCAAGAATCCACACAAAACTAGGAAAATAGTAGATAATTTGTATTATTTGATGAAATTAGAAACGGAAAATACCAAGATACAATTGATCCTCTATTCGAGAGGAGAATCTATTTCTCCCAAATCTCTAGACGCCGCTAGAGCCCAAAAACCTCTAGGATCTCAAATTTCAGCCAAATTCAAGATGCCCTAATCCTAGGAAAATAAACTATTTAATGCATGCCATTCAAAAAAAAAAATCTAAATATTCCCTACATTCAAATTTTCCCCATAACTCCCTCAAAAATCCTTCCTAAACATTTTTTTTTTTTTTTTTACTCTTGCGGTCCGAGCAGCGTACAGGAGAGGTAGAGAGTTTCGACTCTGTTCCGCCTGAGCCAGTTCCGTGTGACCGGTTGGACTAGTCTAACAATATATTAGAAAAACTTTTTGGTATCAGTTTGTCTCAATCATAGATTGGTTAAAATCTTGGAGTCTTTTTTATGAATTTGTGGTTAAAGAGTTTCTTTATCATGTTGTAGTTTTTACTCCTGAACAATCCTTTCGAGCATACACAGACCATTATTTTATTATCTTACTTATAATAGGTAACATTTGATTATGATGCATATTTCAGTCATGTTCACATTTGCTACTTGTGTATGTAATTATGGCATGCTCTTTTATATACAACATTTAGTAGCTAAGATTTTTAGCTTTCCGGGTTATAAGATTTTGACTTCGTTTGAGACGGCTTTCTTATTGCTTCTTAAATTTTTGTACTAAGAAGCTACTTTAAGAAGTAATAAGAAAGCCACCCCAAATTAAACCTTTATCTTTATTTCTTTATCACGATTTCTTCAATGTCCTTGCACTTCTTTCCTTGGGAGGCTTCTCTTGTATGCAATGTCCTTGCGCTCCTTTCCTTGGAGGGAATCTAAATAAACTGAGGTACTGAGCTAGTGATTTTAGCATAAAATATATATTTTTAATTCCAATGAGTATATTTCTTCTGTTTGCTTGGTTCTTTAGCATTACCATTTAGTGATGGCATGCCATAATTCTTTTTGCTGAAGTTTGAAAAACCATTGGCTCATCGCCTATGCAGATGGCCATATTGTCTCGAATTTATCCTTGCAAAGAATGTGCAGATCATTTTAAGGAAGTACTGAAGTAAGTTCCATTTACATTATGATCATTTTTCTCCCAGTTGCGTCAAGATTTTCATGAGTTTCTTAAGCTCTACAATTCTGCATGAAAATATCATTTCATTTTCAACAAGATTAATCCAAAATCCATATAAATATGAAAGAACGATCTGTTTTACTCTCTCTGGTTGTTTTACAGATCAAATCCTGTACAGGCAGGATCACAAGCTGAGCTCTCCCAATGGATATGCCATGTACATAACATTGTAAACAGAAGGTAAAGGTTCAAGTTAGTCTATTCTCATGTTTCATCTCCATTTAGACTGAATTTCTATATTAATGTTTGCAGTTTAGGAAAACAAATATTCCCATGTCAAAGAGTAAATGCAAGGTGGGGAAAACTGGATTGTCTTGATCGTTCTTGTGATCTACAAGGCAGCACAAATTTAAATTTTCCTGTGTAAACCTCATTTATGCCTTTTCTAAATCATTTACTAAACAAAAAGGAAGAGAACGAATACAAATATATGTGATTGAGACATTCTCTATTTACTGTCACTTTCTTCTCTCTTATTAATGAGTAACATCTGTCTTATTTATTTCAGTTTAGTGTTTAAAAAGAGGTGACAGGAATCATGATTGTTTGCGCTTGTTGTATACTAGAATGATATAAGACCCAAATTTATTATGATATGTTAGATTATATTTGATAAATCAATATGTTCTAAGTTTTTTTTTTTTTTGAAGATTTTCTCAGCATGTTAAGATGATGATCTTCTTTTTGCGTGTGTGGGTGGGGGAGACACTTAGGCCAATTAAGATAGACTCAAACACACATCACATATGCAAAAATTGAATACAAAACCTTTTGATTGTGATACGCCTAGACGGTTCAGGAGGGACTCCTAGACTGGTCCAGCCGGGCCAACCTTTTGGGCCGGCTGCACACCTATAGCAGGCAAAAGCCTATTGACCCGTAGGATCAATTGGCCACCCCCTTGGGGGTGGGGTCCACAGCTTAGGGAAGAGAGAGGTCTATTTAGTCCTTTTGGTTTTTTTTTTAATTTTTATTTTTTATGTTTACTTTAATTAGGAGTTTCCATTAGGGTTAGGACATGCAAAATTATTATGACTGTTTTCTTCTTGGAGTTGGTGTCTTGGGCTCCAACGGCGTCTATGGATTGGGAGAAATAGATCCTCCTCTCGAATTGAGGATCGACTGTATCTTGATATTTCTCCTTCCGTTATCTTGCAATAAAAACTATTGGTTTTTTTTTTCCATTCGAATTGTGAATATTTCTCGCTGTTTTTGTCAATATTGTTAGGTTTTACTTAAGATCTTCAAGTATTTCCTAACATATTGATAATAAAAACTCCCTACTAAAAGACTAAGGTGAGCTGCATAAATATAATGATCTATAGTTTTTGAACAAACCTTTCACCAATGATTGTTATAAAGAGTATTTTGTTTAGCCTTTAAAGCAGGTAGTCACTCTTTTGCAAAGAATTATGTTATATTTATGCATCACAACAGCATTACATCATAGCAGCATGTAACATTTATCTAGTTTTATATAAGTTTCATAAACATCCACATCACCAAGCTTTCAATTAATTCCATGAAATACACGAATATTCAAAGATCAGTTGTCCTCTCATTCTCAAAACCCAAGCGCTGGAACACTTTCCATAAATATTAAAGACCAATTTCTACAGAACTCGCCCCTCTTCAATCCCTTCTAACTAGAAAAGGACCCTTCATTGCCATTAATGGCCTGAAAAGGAGGTATCTGTCCAAATTTTAACAGATGGGCAACTTGATAAACTGGTTGCAGCTGCTGGATCATTTGAACATCCAGATATGCATCACAAGCAAAGCACCATACTGACAAATCACTGTGGTTTTTTCTATTATTATTAAAGAAATGCAAATAAGCCCACTAATTGGTACAGTAAGATGATCAAACCTGAAGCTTAGAGCCAAGCAATGGCCAGTCTCCTGATGATGATTGAGCATGTGTTTATTGATGAAGCGGCTGCACAAGACATCTTTACAGGTCAGGCACAACCAATTCTCTGCAGGATGCTGGCATCTGTAATGGTGTTTCCATTTTTATATGGTGCTTAACAATAAATTATAATATTTTAAATATAAGGATATACTTAAAAAAATTAAAAATCACAAGGAAGCAATCAAATTATATTTAAGGCTTTATTTGGGATGGATTTCTTATTTCTTCTTAAAGTAGCTTTTTAGTACAAAAATTTTAATTATTATACTTAAAAGTTACTTTAAGAAGCAATAAGAAAGCTATTCCAAACGAAGCCTAAATACTGCGGCAATTGTAAAACCAATGTTGTACTCAAGAATTTTCTGTTGCAACTATCAAAATAAAGCATACTCAATACATGAAACTTCTGCCAATGCAAGGTTGAATAAAGGTTGATATATGTAGCATTATGGGATGCAAACCTCAAAGTTCATGTCCATTAAAAATACAAAATGCATGAGTTGGAACGAGCAAGAAGATAATCAAAGCGTTAATCTTACTTTAGTCAAGTTTTTTAGCTGAATTTTATGTGTTTTAGTATTGTTGGAAAAATGCTTATAATGGCGATTCGTATAAAGAATGGGTTATGTTCTCTAATGTTTATGTTGGTTTGGTTTGGTATGATTCACGAATGATACCTCTTAGAATAGTAGCTTAGTTGTTTCATAGCAGTTCCTCGTAGCATTAGCATTAGAATAATAAGAAAATTCAGACTACAATCAGAGTAGCAATAGTAGCTGAATGTAGTGTAAAGCTTGATTTGGTTGCCTTCCCGACTCAATTCTTTTGTTTATTCAGTAATTGGTTCTGTATGGTTTGTTCTTTGGACTTCTACTTGCATTTTTAACCTTTCTTTGGGTCTCCAGAGATTTTCAATAGATACTTCTTAATATAATTTGGTTGCCTCTTTGGACCTTGTTAGACCGGTCCAGCCGGTCCATGCCGGACCGGCCCTGGCAGAACCGAGGCGGAACCTCCGCCTAATTTCGTGGCCAACCGCACCGCAAGCGCCAAATGATCATTTAAGGAAGGATTTTTTAGGGTTTTGGTAGGGAAATTTGAATGTAGGGATTGTTTAGGGATTTCCTTTTGATTTGTATGCATTAAATAGTTTGATTTCCTAGGGCTTGGACATCTTGAATTTGGCTGAAATTTGAGATCTTCTAGATTTAGGTTTTTCTTTGGGATCTAGCGGCGTCTACAGATTTGGGAGAGATCGATCATCCTCTCAAATAGATGATCAATTGTATCTTGTTATTTTCCGTTTCGCTTTTATCAAATAATACAAATTTATCTACTGTTTTTGTTGTTTTGTGTGGATTTTGGTAGAGAAAGCTCGTTGTTTTCCGAAGATTGATAGGAAATACTTGAGATCTACAAGTACTTCCTATCAAATTGGTATCAGAGCGTGAGCCTTCCGGGTAGCTTGTCTTTATGTGATAGTGAGCAGTGTTTCTGTGGGCAATTCCATGCCTGATTGCACACATGAATTATAAATTGATTATGACTATAATGATGAGCCTATCCAAATGAATGCCAATATAGCTAGAAGAAGAGAAATTCATTGTGGAAGAAATAATCAAGACAAACCTCATAAGATGTATGTAATGAAGTTTATAGCAATTATAAAAATCAAGTTTATAGTTTAAACGATTGCATAACTAATAAAGTTAAACTTGAAGCATATACGTTTGATGGAAAAAGACCCTCAGACATTCTCTAACTATTACAGGACATGAATAATTTTCTTAAGTAGCAAAAGATGTCGAGTGTCAAGTGAGATTTGCAAAACTAAAATTAACAGGGAAAGCTAGGAAGTATTGTATAAAGATGGAAAAAAAGGTCGATACCTACAACTACTCTATGTAAGTAACATCATTGTTAACAGAACGCTAAGGGGGTATCCATTGCTATTGCGACTAATCTTAAATGTTATCAAACAAATAATTTTGTAAACAAATATCATAGTATAAATTTACAAATGTGGATGAAGTGAACAATAAAATTAATAGGGGAGTGACATTCATGAATTTAAAGGGAGATTAATCATTCTGAAGATGCTTTGATTTCAAATTCTTTAAAGAGTAAATATTAAACAATTCCCTTGGGTTTGGATGGCGCTTCACATAGGTTAGCATTTTTTAAAACCCTCCATGTATCCATGGCATCTTTTGGATATTTCATTATAGTTCCCTAGCTTGATTTTTAAAACCCTCCATATGTCCATGGCATGTTCGGAGATTTCATTCTTTTTTCTAACAACATTAAATATTACGTTAATTTAGCTTAGTGATTTGTTTTGTTATGTTTGAATTGTATCAAATGTCATGACTAGAATTTTGTTAGCCTCATCTTCTTATCTAGTTCTTAAGTTTAAGCCTTTCTCCGATAATCTATCCAAGCCCCTGATCAGCAATAGAATTCCATAGATCTCTCAAACTACTTGGAAGTGAAGACCATGAGATTTTAAGCCCGAGCTCCTTATTATCATTGAGGCCAAGTTGCTAGCCTTACTAACGTCAAAGAAGAAGGCGAACAAAAATATGAGAGGCTATAATGAGAAAAGAGAGGCGACAAGTAGGAGCGGGAGATTGCCAAATCATTGGAGATCACCGACATTGGGATGGGAGGATATGGGACAATTTTTTATAAAAGAAAATGAAGGGAAAATATAAGGTTAATTTTGTCATTTTCATTCAATTGAAGGGTTCTATTAACAAAAGATACATCACGAAATAATCTTGTATATTAGGTAACTAAGTGGAGCATTTTTCAAAAACACAACCACCACCTTAAAGAAATGACAAAACCACGAGGACTTGTATGATATTTACTTTTTTAAAAAAATATCAAGAGATGCATTATCACCACACCTAAAATTGATCATGATTGGAAAAAAAACTTACAATCAAACATATTTCAAGCATGATGAAATTTTTTGCAAATTCATTGTACGAATGTTTTAGGCAAGTTAACAATTAATTGCATATATTTGAAGCCTGAACAACACCACAACCATATATTCTTGTAGATAAAAGTGCTAACTATAGAGAAATAAAAACTTATAAAACATACAATTAAGATATAGGGGATAGTAATGGAGCATAAAATGAGAAAAACTTGCATCAGTTTCAGAGAATGAATTTAATTTCATGCCGAAAAAAATTAGGGAAGCATTTTTTGAATTAAGACAAACAATAAAAATGCTTTGATAGCAATGGAATGATCTTTATATAATCTAGTAATCTTAAGAAGGTATATGATCAAATACCACAATAATTAAGCATTAAGAAAGAAAGTTGTGTCAAAAGCACGTAAAAGCTATTAAATATATGCACGATGGAATACTAACTAATATTAGAAGTAGTTGTACAATGATAAAAAAAATTAATTATGATAAATGGTATGAATGGTATGAGTCAACTCATATTTAAGATTCATGTTAGAGAAAAATGCCTCTTGAATGAGGACCTTTTGGTCCTTTTGTCAATAAGAGGATAGAAAATCAAAGCACGTCATAATTAAGATGTGTGTTAGATCATCATTCCCCCAAGATAATGTATGAATTAATAGCAAGTTTCAAGATACGTGTTGTTGGAGATTTGAGTTGGACCATTGGATTTATATTAATAGCATTGACATTAGTGCTGTGGGTGATCCAAATTAGATGCCCAAATTTACATCGAAACCATGAGATTAGCATCAATTAAATATATCAAGTTATATTAGAAGATTAACACAAATATTGAAGCATTCCATAATGTATATGCTCAAGGGATTGACCAACATTGCACGTGCATCAAGGGAGCACAATTCTTGGCATCATTAATTAGACAGTTAAAAAAAACCTAGAGCAAAAGGTTTTAAGAGACGCATTATTTGCTCCATTTTTTAATCTCTTTTTAAAATGTCCAAAAGTATTTTTCTTTTAGCTCAAAAGGACCACAACATATTTTTGTGTCCTTGTAAGATTGGAAGGAACTTGATCATAATTCTCTAAAAATTGATGTTCAAATTTAAACAATTTAACCATAATCACTCAGAGAATATCAGCATGGGGGTCATCTTTGGATTTCAAACTAACCCTCTTTAAATAAATCCATTTTTTTATGTTGGTAGTATTCTTGAAGTTTGAGTCATTCAGAAGATATTTAAAATTTGATGGAGCTTAAATTACACAGAAGTGAAACAATGCCCACAAAATAGCAACAAACTTTCCTTATATGGAACATGATGCAATCCACTTCAAGATAACCTTGAAACATTCTCCAAATAATTCAACATGACAAAAAAAGTCAAACGGGATAAAAGTGGTAGTAAAATATTGACATGAGCCCCAAAGTGGAAGCTCAAGCATAGGCGAGAGAATGAATTTAATTTCATGCCGAAAAAAATTAGGGAAGCATTTTTTGAATTAAGACAAACAATAAAAATGCTTTGATAGCAATGGAATGATCTTTATATAATCTAGTAATCTTAAGAAGGTATATGATCAAATACCACAATAATTAAGCATTAAGAAAGAAAGTTGTGTCAAAAGCACGTAAAAGCTATTAAATATATGCACGATGGAATACTAACTAATATTAGAAGTAGTTGTACAATGATAAAAAAAATTAATTATGATAAATGGTATGAATGGTATGAGTCAACTCATATTTAAGATTCATGTTAGAGAAAAATGCCTCTTGAATGAGGACCTTTTGGTCCTTTTGTCAATAAGAGGATAGAAAATCAAAGCACGTCATAATTAAGATGTGTGTTAGATCATCATTCCCCCAAGATAATGTATGAATTAATAGCAAGTTTCAAGATACGTGTTGTTGGAGATTTGAGTTGGACCATTGGACTTATATTAATAGCATTGACATTAGTGCTATGGGTGATCCAAATTAGATGCCCAAATTTACATCGAAACCATGAGATTAGCATCAATTAAATATATCAAGTTATATTAGAAGATTAACACAAATATTGAAGCATTCCATAATGTATATGCTCAAGGGATTGACCAACATTGCACGTGCATCAAGGGAGCACAATTCTTGGCATCATTAATTAGACAGTTAAAAAAAACCTAGAGCAAAAGGTTTTAAGAGACGCATTATTTGCTCCATTTTTTAATCTCTTTTTAAAATGTCCAAAAGTATTTTTCTTTTAGCTCAAAAGGACCACAACATATTTTTGTGTCCTTGTAAGATTGGAAGGAACTTGATCATAATTCTCTAAAAATTGATGTTCAAATTTAAACAATTTAACCAGAATCACTCAGAGAATATCAGCATGGGGGTCATCTTTGGATTTCAAACTAACCCTCTTTAAATAAATCCATTTTTTTATGTTGGTAGTATTCTTGAAGTTTGAGTCATTCAGAAGATATTTAAAATTTGATGGAGCTTAAATTACACAGAAGTGAAACAATGCCCAAAAAATAGCAACAAACTTTCCTTATATGGAACATGATGCAATCCACTTCAAGATAACCTTGAAACATTCTTCAAATAATTCAACATGACAAATAAAGTCAAACGGGATAAAAGTGGTAGTAAAATATTGACATGAGCCCTAAAGTGGAAGCTCAAGCCTAGGTGGCCTAGGCGCACACACCTCTGAGCTTGGGACGGCTCGAGTGTGGCTGCTTAAGCTATAGTATCCATAATTGCGCGTACCTAATAGGGCGATTGAATTGGAATCACCATACATACCAATAGAGTGTGGATACTCAAAGTAATGCATGTTATGAGTATTATTGATGTGCTATAGAGCTTGACACAAAGCTTATAACATGCCCTATCATGCTTAATTTAATTATTTTATTATTTATTATGATTATTAAGTTTTCACTAAGGGTTTTGTTTTAAACCTATTTAAAACCCTCTGCCAAATTTAATCTCATATATAATCCTCGCCTGAGCAGACCTCTCTCTTAAACACTCAAGAAGTAGAAAGCAGGAGTCCCCATAGTAGAAATAGGATACAACAAATGCGCACAAACTTAGTGACTCGGTCTTCCCTTCTGAGTCTTGATCTCATTTGCAAGTTAAACACAAACTTATCTAGAGTCAAAAATAGGAGTTGCTCTTCATCTTTGATCTTAATTGTTGAATGCAAAACTCTCCCTAGCAAAAAAGTGATCAATCTTGTTTGCAAGTCTAACACAACTCTCTCTCACGCTGATAGAACCTTCCCGATTCCCAACCATATTTGTCTTCGATTTTCTCTACTATAAGTCACAAGTCCAACTTCTCTCTATCTATCAAAAGCAACAATGTATGTAATAATGTTTACTCTTTCACTTTCCTTAATGTGATTTTATTTTATTATTCTCTTTCTTTGATTTGCCTTGATTTCTTGTTTCTTTTCATTTAATTTTATTGATCAAATTTGAAAAAATATGGTTCTTTCTTTAGCATTTTGACCTAATATTATGTATAGTTATAACAATGATAGTTTTATTTACAAATTTAGTTGTTTTCATTATCAGGAGACGAGTTCAATATGCATTGAATCCATCTGAACCACCCCATCAATCCTTAAATTGGGAAGTTTAGATTCAAGCTTATACCATGATTTATAGCTTTTAAAGAACAGACAAAACTCTCCTTATGAAAGTAATAAAATAAATTTAAAAAAAAAAGAAAGTAATAAAAATGGCTTAAACCAATTTCTATCGATCAAGAGTTTGGTGTTCATTTCATGCGGCAACGTAATGCCATGAAGCAAATGACTGTATTTTAAAATAAACTACGAATCAATTGTATTACAGTAGTAAAGACACTGATTTAGTGCAAAAGACGCTAATTTTAGGACATCGGGATAACTTCTAAAGGATGGATTAATGATTTGCACCATTTAGAGTAAACTAAAAACCCGCCGCGTTAGGGTTTCACACAAAGGGGAATTGCCAACCTGCTGCAATGGGAATCGGGGCCGGGAATGTGGCTGAGATCGGAAGACAAAGATGGTAGATGATCACATGACTTTCGCGCCTCCACCCATCCTGATTCTGCTCCATACAGCTCCTCCACTTCCTCCTGAACAATACCGGGAGCTGACTGACTTTGCAGAATTCAACACAAGAAATCCAAAAAGGGAGCGAGGGAGAGGGAGAGAGAGATTTCTTACCCACGCGGAAGATGAACTGGCGTTACTCTCCATTGAAGATCTGCAAGTTAAATGAGCTTTTTGCTCTCTTGATAGACGATTGTTTGAGGCAGGAAGTGATATTATACCTCATAATATATATAGTTTTTTTCTGTGAAATTATTTAATTGATATTAATTATACATTACAAATAATGTAATTTTTTATTACTATATTGAGGTTTAGGCTTTATTTGGAGCGGCTTTATTTCTATTTTTTAAAACAACTTTTTAATAAGAAAATTCTATTTTAAGAAATATTTGTACTAAAAAGTTATTTTACAAAACAATAAAAAAGCTATCTCAAATTAATGTATGATCGATCCTTAACGTAGCAGTTTTGTTTGTAACACTAATTAAGATATTTCTTTTATATAATAATTATTACTTTTGTTAAATTTTAATGGAGATTTAGAACAAATTTAGCATCAAATTCATATAAACACCCAAATATGCAACTTGCAAGGCCTGAAACACATGACCTATGATGTGAGCCAAAGATCCCAATTTTTTTTTTTTTTTTTTGTGTGTAAACTAGCTTATATGATAAATGACAGGTATTTTCTTACAAACATAATATTATTTATTTATTATTGTATGCTAAAATATTTGTGACGGTAAAGTATTAAATTAATATCTTAGTTTTTTTTATGGAAATATAGCATAAACATAAATGAGAGAATATTGTAATAAGAGGCACAGTATTTTTACAAGAAAAAAAACTAAAAAAAATAGTAGGATATAGCCTGGCAAAAATAGTGAATTACATAATTAAAGTCATAGGGGTTCAATATTCCCGTTAATATGCAAAGATGGAGTCACACACATGTGAATAATTATTTGGTGCATGTTGTAAATTTTACATGACACGTGATTGAAGATAGAAATGACCACATAATGTCAATCGAGTGACAATGGTATGATGAAACTCAAATGACTATGGTTTGGACGTTTGGTGATGACAAACAAATATTGACACTCGGGAGATGATAATTGGATGATGATAGCTATGGGATAAAAGTCGGACAATGATAGTCAAATGATAATGATTAGATAATAATAAATGGACTATAATGATCAGACGTCGTTGGTCAGATGATAATAATCTAAGCAGTCAGATAATGACGATAGATGTCAGTGATTCAGGGCATTAAATATCAGACACTAATGCTCTTTATATCTTTAAGCTCTCTTCATGCTCAAATTCAAGTCTCCTTCATATTGAGAATGAGGGTCAAAGTTTTAGAATACTCCATCAAATGATGCTTATAACTTCCCTTGAAATTAGATCGTTTGTTCGACATTTAAGTGTTTTAATGGCCTCGGAATTAAATGATATTAGGTTCATTGGATTCTTGTCATCAAAACACTCAATTTGATAATAAACATGCAAGATTTTGGAATCATTCGATCCTTCAATGACTTAGGCTCATCTGGGCCTGAATTGGAATACTTTTGTTGTTGTCTGAGTTTATTTATTTGAGCATGATTTTACTATAAAATTATCAAAAATAGAGTTTATAGGGCTCTTAATTTGATTCTAAGAGTCTCCAATATATGTATTGCATCAAGATTCATGCTTGTTGATTTTTTAAAATATATAAATTTTCCCTTATTTTTTAATGTTGAATATATATAGCCCTAAAATATGATAAATTGATGTACAATTATAACCTCAAAAAATTATAATGCAAAATCGCTATTTGGACGTGAAAATGAACCTCTCCTTAAGGCCCTGAACCAAGTAAATTATATGCAATTATAATTTTGGCCTCACTAAAGCCAGTGTGTCAATTGTTGTGAAAATTGATTAAATTTTCAGCTCAAAACTTGCTAAAAATCTATAGAAAATTGATTATGGAGGTTCAATGGGCTTAAAAATGTCAAAATTGTGTCAATAAAATTGTAAAGTGTTCGGTCTTAATAATCAATTTGTTGAGAATTGTGATTATAATCAATGAACTCTTGATATTTGTCTAAAAGTGAATACCCCATTTAAAACATAACAACTTTAATCTCTATCTAATATTATGCAACTTTAAGACTTTGGAATAAACTGATTTCTCTGATATCTTATGATGAATATAGAGTGTTATCTTTTGAGACTTATGTCATCTTAAGACTTAAAAAAAAGTATACTTTTTTAGGTTTATGCATTTTAATGTCTTTTAGAAAACTTATACGTTATGAGGATTTTAATATACTTATATATTTTTAGACTTATACCTAATGAGATTTTAGATGAGTGGGGGATCCTACCAACCACTTAGGCTTCATTTGGGGCAATTTTTTTATTGCTTATTAAAGCAGCTTTTTAATACCAAAATTTTAATTTTTCTACTAAAAAGCTATTTTTAGAAGCAGGAAAAAAGTTGTCCCAAATGAAACCTTAATCTCATGAAGTTTTCTTATGAGTACATTATTAGTACTAGCTTTTCATTGATACTATCTCATGAGGGTGTCTTACAAATATTGTGGGTGGAGGCCCTACTTGCCGATTGCCTTTTGAGGTATTTCTAGTGATGTTCACATCAATTATTAGCTTTCCATCAAGCAATGCTCTAACAAAAACTCTAGAAGGAGCATACCTTTTAGAGTTATGTTAGATGTAATGCAAAAAATAAAATTTATGTGAGCTTGTCTCTGAGTGTTGCACGGAGGGCCTGGTAGAGGATTGCATCATAAGCTTATTGAATATGTATGATGATCCTATTGCAATTGATATGCTCATAAAGATCTGAGGCCCCATCATAAGGATCAGATGTGATATTCATCATCTAAAATTTAGGTAGTTTTTCATTAATGGTTGTTTGTTTTGAGTTAATAGTAATTATAAGTATTGAAATGTTGAATGAGATAGAAATAACCAAGGCTTGAGGTTTGAGGAGTGAAAAATTAAGTTTTGAATTGTTCCTCTACGAGTGCTATGATGCTAGTCTTTGCAGCACCCCGGCATGGAGCCCCAGCATTACGGTGCCATGTAGCTCTCGAGACCTGGGAGAATTTAGAAGATTCTCTATGGGCATTATGACATTGGAAATTCTGGTGCTATGGCGCAAGGCCAAATTAATATTTTTCAAATAATAAAAATATTTTGATCCATTTATCAAAACCAATTGCACCTTCAATTTGTCTTGAAAGAAGAGAAGAAACAGAAGGAAAGCGAAAGAAAAGCAAAAGATTTGGAGTCCAAGATCCGAAAAATTGTTCGTTGGAAAAATGGTTAAGCTCGAGATAGGCAACTCATACCCTATTTCTGATTTTCATTTCTAAGTATTTATAAAAAGACATACTTTTAAAATTATTTTCTTGAATTTGAGAAATGTTTCACCATATAAATTTTAGTATTTTGTTGTATTCTCTATTATATACAATTTAACTGTAAGAATGCAAAACTTCACCGGTCAGTTCATTCAATATGAATTTCTAACTATTTTGAAAAATGGTAACATCTATAAATCTCAGTATAGTTGTCGAAATAAGTTAATTTAGCATTTTGCATAATCTACATAAATTTGGTAAAATTCCGAGAACTTTGTATAGACACTTGAAATGTGAGGGTTTTTTTTATAGAAATTGATATTTAATATTTAATTGCTTTAATTTTTTTTGTATTATCATGCATTTTATGACATTTTGGAGCTTTATTATGGAAAACCAATATACTATGAAATTCTATGTTTGGGCCCAAAGTGAATATATCTCTGTCTTAAAGTACTGTATTCTAGCTTTGAAATAACTTTATATTGGAATATATTCAATTCTCTATTATGGGTCTGCTTTACACTTGTTTTAATAGGTGGGAGGTGGAATTTGAGAGTTATAAAGGACATTAATGTATTTGCATTCCTACATTAACTTTCATGTGTGAAGTAGTATACCCATATTGTAAAGTAAATGATACTTTTATTATGTTATTTATTTTTATATTGAGTTGTGAACTGATCAGCTCTATTATGGGAGGAAAATGGTGGCCTACTGAGTTTTATATTCATCATTTTGTTTATAATATATCAGGCAAAGGTAAGTTTTCTGTTGAGTAGAGTAGAATAAATTTGATAGAGAGTAGAAATTTTAATTTTGAAAGGTACACATAATTTTGTAGTTCAATTTGTATTTTCTAATTTTGTTGCAATCATAGTAATATGGACTATTATGATTTAGTTATTTTGAAAGAAATATTTTGTATAGATTCTATGGACGTATATTCTATATGGTTTGTGGCGATTAGTTTGCTCAAGTGAAATGATAAATTACAAGAGAATTAAGAAGTAAATAGAAAATGTAAGTTTTAAATTACTTCTTTAGGTCGTGAGGAGTGACATCAATTGTATGCAATTTAACTATCATTGAATAGGTTGATCTATGTAGCCAAGCTGCACTATGTAGCCTGGGAAGACCTCTATAGTCCAATCAATGTTGGAGGTCGAGGGGTCCATTCAACAATTCAATTAGTAGGACCTTTAAGAGTTAAGTTCACTTGGAATTTCTACAAGAAATCGGATTCAATTCTTAATAAATCGTTGAGAGCAAAGTATGGAAGAGATGTTATGCATGTTGCTATTAAGAGATTCAATTCTCCGTCTTGGAAGATCTTTATCTGTGGTGGTAAAGCTTTAAATCCGATTATCAGATTCAAAATTGCTACATAAAAATCTATCAATATTTTTAGAGACTGCTGGATATGGGATAGAAGATTGGAGCTATGGCCGACTTTTATTGCAACGGTTGAAGGTGAGTTCCCAAACATGGAGAATTTTATTCTAAATGGCAGTTGGAATAAAATTGAATTGCTGAAATTCTTTGAAAAAGAGTTGCTGGATATAATTTTACAAATTAAATTGTATCCAGAACTTCCTGATGATGAAATGGAACTTGTTAAATCATTTACTGGCAAAACTATAGCTCCAATAGCCAGGTCTAATGCAGATGATAATTCAGATTCATGGAGCTGGTTCAAAAACATTAAATTGAATCCACGGGTAGAACGGTTCTGGTGGCGCTTATGGAGAAATGCAATTCCTTGTAGAGATTTTCTGGTATACAGAAGATTAGCAAATGATAATCTTTGTCCTAGAGGATGTGATGTGGTAGAGAACTCGGAGCATATAGCAATAAAATGTGGAAAGATAAAGGAGGCTATCATTTTGGCAAATAGATGGGGCTTCTCACTTCCTTTGTTTAGCTCTTAGACAGATTGTTTGATGAAGCTGAAGTGCATGTTGAAGGTAAACTTGTTTGCTGTAAATTTATATTGCACAATAGCTTTCTTCTCTTGGAAGAGTAGAAATAAGGTGATTCATGAGGGGAAAGAGACTAGCCTTTCATCTGTTGTATCAAATGCCATCAGCACTACTTCTATTGCTTTGAATTTTAGTTCAATTCGGGATCACTGGGGTGCTAATCGGTCATTTAGACCGTTGTCAAATTCTTGGCATCCCCCTCCCCCCGAGTGGATTAAAGTTAATATAGATGCAACGTTATTGAGATCCAATGAAGTCGGAATTGGTGGAGTTTTTAGAGATCTTAAAGGTAGATTTCTCCTTGCTTTTGGAATCAAATGTACTCATTGGGACAATGGAGCTCTGGAGCTATTGGCATTCCAAACTTTAAACAAGGTCATCAAGGATTGGATGTTGGATTCAAAAGGTATTATACTTGAAAGTGATAGTAGCAATGTGGTGAACTATCTTAAAGATGCTGTGAAGAAACCATTCCCGATCCATGATGCTAGGTATGAAGATTTATCTTTCCTCAATAAGTTTGATTATTTCTTATTTAATTGGGTAGATAGAGACTGTAATAAGTTAGCAGATTGTTGTGCTAACTTGACTTTATTGGGTGATTTTGTTTGGGAAGATATTTACTCTAATAATGTTCCTCCTAATTTCTTGTTATTATTAAAGGAGGATTGTGATAGAATTCCTATCACTTAGTAGTTTGTAATAGAGGTTTTTCTTTTCTTTGCTTTAATGCTATTTGCAATTTCAAAAAAAAAAAAAAAAGGATAGGTTGATCAAGAATTGCATTTGTTAGATGCAAATATTTTTTAAAGCTATGATAGAGAGTAAGCTATTTTTTGTTATGATCTGACTTGGAGGCTCAAATTAATGATGCAAGAACAAATGATAATGATTAATAGCATTTTTTGTTTATTAATAATCTAGTTTCAACACATAAAAAGAGCCACTAAAATCTTAAAATGTTAATATAAAATACTATAAATATCTTTTTATTGAAGTGTCACGTTTATGATGCATATTTTCTACTCGTCTATTTATTTAAATTAATCGAATAATACATGTGAATATTATTGAAAGTAAAAAAGTGAGTCATAAATCAATAAGTAAATCATGCTTCTTAATTATTGTAATACAAGATATTGGGAACAATATGCATGCTCAAGTCAAACATAAAATAATTCTATTTAAAATTCATTACGAATATTTTTATCATTGTTATGCATATTTATACATGTCACATATGTCATATCTTTATCATTTATATAAATAAGACTAGTGATGGGAGACACCGACTAATATAGTACCAATAAAGATACTTCTTTTTTATAATATTTTTTTATTTAAATATTCATGTACTTTTTATTATCACGTAGTACTAGAGGTGTGATCCATCATCCAACATGCACATAAAAGTATATCTATGTAATCATTTCATTCGTATAATATTCACAAAATTCATATAATTATGCAAAATATAACATGCTAATTATGATCAATCATTTGATATTTGAAAGATAAATTGTTTGCAATAAAGATCAAATGTAATTAGAAGAATCAATATAATTATCATAATTTAGGAACATGCGTACTCACCTAAACTTAGATGTTTTTAAAGTTCACCTTTACTACTCTTTATTCTAATATCGATATATTTAATACCTAAAGGCTTAAGATATATTCTTATCATCAAAATATATCATAAATACTCTTGCGTGATATTTTAATTTTTATCCATGCATAAACAAATAAAACACATGCAAGAGAAGCAAAGTTTGTAAAACAGTAAAACAATATGGTATAACTACTTCTAAAATAGCACAATATATAAATAATGAAATCTATAACCCAGTAAACTAGTACGAATGTTAAATCAATAAAATTATAAATAATCCTTCTTAAATCATACATCTTAGCAGTACTATCAAATCAATAAGAAAATCAGATAAATCAATAAAATTTTAAAAATATATATATATATAAATACTTTCAGAATCCACAACAATGCAATACTATTAGAAAATTATATAAGAGTATACACATGATATTCAACTATTTTATATTAATATCAAATTAGTATATTATATCAAATGCTCAATATTGGGATCACATGCTCAATAACACTAAATCAATATAGTAACAACAATAAATTAATATAATAATAGGAATCAATATAACAATAAAATAGTACAGTGATAGCAATATAATAATAGTAAGATATATTTCAATAATTGCACTAAATAAGTAAGAAGCTCTGGCTTACATGATAT